AGAATTTGATAAAAATGAAAAATAGGGAAAATATTACATCAGGACTCCTAACGTAGAGCTACGTTTAGAGTCCAATGAAATGACGTCATGTGAAGTTGATAGCAAAATTTAAAAAAAAAAACATTTTAGCACAGGAGAATATTTCCTCCGTGTTATTTCACATTATTCAGGTGTTATTGTGGTGGTATTCATGTGTTATTGTGTTCTGGGAATATTCTCGGTGTTATAATAACGCAATAACACATCAATATCACCATAATAACACATGAATAACGTGAAATAATACAAAAGGAATATTCTCGTGTTGCCGGGCCGGATCACAGAAAAATGCGCGCGTTTCCTTGAAGTCGCATATCTGCATATCAGTGGACTCCGAACGTAACTCTATGTTAGAAGTTCTGATGTAATATTTTTTTCATGAAAAATATGGGTTGGTAATTTATCATGAATCTTGATATTTGAATGAATTTTAAAAAATGGATGAAAGAACGTCGTAGATTTGTAAATAATGTGGACATTTGTGAAATTATTGCGGTATTATTGCATGTAGTCTCTTGGGGCACTTTTATAAAGAAAGTCCTGCCAAATGTCTTGAAAAAAACCAAAAGAATCTTTACGTTATCTGATATAACTTTTATCACTCTGGATTTAAAAATTGTTGAATTTTGAGCTGAATATGTAGGCATTCTATCAAAGTCCATTATTCTATTTACTTATTAAAATTATTATCTATTTATAAGCATTCAAATCCATTTTTTAAATGTCTATTAAAAATTATCATTCCATATCATGTATCTAGATAATTTGAAGGCCATTTAAGCTTATTTTAAAAATTTCAAATTTAATTTTAATAGATAAGTTATCATGTTCTATCAATTAAAGGGCCAATTATTTACGTACGTATCGCCTAATTGCTAAGTATTTACATATCTAACGTCTATAAACTTTAATCTTTGACGTTTATATCGTCATGATATTTCATAACACAACGAAAATACTACCATTTTAAATTTTAAAAATTGAAATAAGCAATGTGGTATGTAAAAATTAAAGTTTAGGTGCTAGATGGTAAAAACAATGGATTCGAGTGAAGTGTAAGTAAATTTTTTTAATTATAATTAAGAAATATAATTTTTGGTTGAGTACTTTAGAGTGTATTTTGGTATTAATTAAATTAATTTAATATAGTTAACATAAAAAATATACATTGCATGTTTTGGTTAAGGAGTTTAGGAAAGATTTAAATTTTAATCAGGCGAATTAAGATATAAATAGAGTTATCTATAATATGGTTTATGTGATTTAAACATATAAATTTTCGATTTTGGGTAGGTTTCAGAGATAAATATGTTAAACTATATAATATCATATATATATTATACATATTATAAAATATAGTACATGAATAAGAGAGAGATAACATCCAATTATCTAACATAGAATAAACACACACGAAATAACTTGTAATAAATACATACACTTAACAAGGCATTGAAAAACCATAGATATATTTTCGGTTCTAACATTTACATGTTGAAAACAAGTTGATTTTTAAAGATAAATATGAAGATATATTGCTCGAAAGGTTTAAAAGTAAATGGGGGTAATTAAAAGCTCTTTAATTTATGAAGAAATTTCGAATTCTTCTTACCTAGCTCTAAATTTAATGCTTTGAATTGCTTCTTGGTTGTTTCCTAGCCTCCTTGCTTCTTCTTTTGGTTTGTTGGAGAACTTAAAGAAGAGTTTTCGGTTTGTCAAGAAGAAAAGAAAATCAAAAGGAATATGAGAAAGAGAAGGAGAAAATCTCTTATAATTGGCGAGGAGAAAAGAATGGTGCTTCAATGTGGCGTGAATGGGAGGGACGAGAGGAGTTATGACTAGTAAATAGGGAGATAGTGGGCAGTTTTGCAAGTTAGTGTGGTGGAATTAATGGTTGAGATGAAGGAGGGAAGATTTTATTCAAATTTAATGGCCAAGATTTGGTCTAATGGAAAAATCCACAATTTTCATTGCTTAGACCAATAAAAAATGATCACTAGGATTACTGAGAAGGCATGTGGGAATAAACAATTAATTAAATAATTAAGCCAATGACATTTTTGTAAATCAGCCCAAAATTGGGTTTTCTCTAAAATGGCAAAGGTTGATCGAAAAAATTCAAAATTATATACCATGTTGAAGAGGATAAAATGAGAAATCTAACAGTTTAAATGATTTCAAAAATGGAGTTGTGTAACTAAAGTTGTGGCCATTTGAAGTTCGAAATTGGTTGACTAGGTGGTTATTGGTGGTTAGGAAGTTGACTTTGGCTAAAAATTTGACTTTGGTCAAAATGATAGAGAAAATAGTATGAATTCAACGGCCTAAATGGTTTTGAATAATTCAAGCTCTATAAGAAGATGTGACTGGTCAAAATGGGCCCCACCTTAGGAGAGAGAAAATCAACAATTTTGACAAAAAAAATTTATTGGACTTAATTGGCCCAAAAGGTGCATTTGATGTCTTTTAAAAAATATTTTTGTCAAATTATCACTTTATCTATACTAATAATTATTTTCTCTCTCCTCATTATCGTTTCTCAAAAGTTATCCAAATGGAGTCAAAATTGAGCATCAAAGAACTCATTTGAAATATTTTGATATTGTGGACACAATGGTGAAATATATTTTCAAAAAACAACGACTCATTAAAAAACTTTTATGTGAAACCATTTTCATGCATGAAAGCTTAGTAGATAGCTCTTACATAAAAATTATTCCAATTGATCATAAGATTGGTTTGCAATATCTTTATTAGTTATAATAAGCTTCATGCAACTCTTAAAATGAGATTTTAAGCCTTACAATGATCTTTAGAGAAAAATCAATAATTTTATTGTTTTAGTTAAGATTTAGGTCAAGTGGAGTCTAACCAGGCTTTAGTCAACGAAAAGAGGATTGACCAAAAATGAGGTCAACACGCATAAAATGCATAATATTCAATTTTAATTATAAATATTACCATATATATATATTACGTGCATGCATTTCATGTTTTATGTATCAATATTTATTTGTGTATTTGCTTTTTTATTTATAAGATATTTATAAATATATTATAACAAATTGATTTGATTTTTTTAGTCATTTCTACTTCCTATAAGGGACAATCAAATAGTATTTTTTGAGAACACTTAGTACATTTAAAATTGAGAAGTGTTATTTGCTTTGCTGTTTATGAGTATATACTTGAAATAATATGCTATTTAGAGTTAGTTTTACTTCACAATCATAAAAAAAAATATTGCATCGAAGTGTAGTTGTGGGTGGTTATTACATTCACATGTGACACTCTTATTTGGATCCCACATCTTTTCTTTGTTGATTAACTTTTGTACCATTAAAATAAAGTAATGTGGTTGATAATAACTTGAGGAACAATTACCAAATCATTCACCTTTAAGGTCTTTTCATTGAAGTAACTTACATGCCTGCACTTTCTCCTATGCTAAACAATATCTCCATGACATATAGATATTAATTTATAAATATTTTTCCCACATTTGGGCCCATATAAACATATTTCATATATCATTTGAATCAATCAGTTGATTGGGTAAGGAAGGATTTGTGATCGATGGTTTGTAGCTCCTAAGAGGAGGAGAGATCTATAATAGAGGCAATAGGGTTCGTGGAGTTTGATTTAAGGGAAAAAGCTTGAAAAGTGAAAGCTTGGGATGGTCAATTTATTCCAAAGGAATTGCAAACTCCAACAATTGATCACAAATCAATTGCAAATCCCTTAATAAAGATGAATCAAGTTTGATCCCATAGTTCCTTGTCAAATAAACAATTTGTGAAGAATTACAATAGCTAGTAATAATAATCATAAAAAAATAATTTCACTATACTTGTAGCCCTTAGTTACTAGATATAAACCCCTAAAACTAAAATTAGTCAATCTATTCTAAAGAGTGAAGACTAGCAACATTTCTCCCTACATATTTTTCAATAAAAAAATTTTATGAGTGCCTACCACACAAATTTTTCTCTCTCTCTCTTAATGCATTCAAGTGAAATCATCTTTCCCATTAAAACTTCTCTCTCAAACTAACTCTATAAATACATATTTCACCTTTTACAACTTAAAATAGCACAAATTTTTGTTCCATGTAAAAGATTTGCATGCTATAAACATAAAAAAGTAATCTTTAAAGGTTAGACATGTAAATACATAGAAAATGTGTGCTATATACATAAAAACGCCCCTCATATTTAATCAAAAGATTTCTAATCCACTCACACCCCAATCATTTCAACCTCAAAACAATTTCATCATTCAAATCAACCAAAAAAAAATCAAAATTTTTATTTAAATTGATAAAAAATTTCCATAATTGCAAATCGGACCCTCAAAACCGGTCCATAAAAGCGTTGCGGGCTCATTGGAAACAAAAGACAAACGTGCCGTGAGAGTCCTTCCATTCCCCTTCTTTATTACTTGCTGGACAACCACTTCATCCAGATAAGAAAGCAATTGCTATTATTATATAGCCTGGCAAGCCAACATATTACACATAGCCCCCCAAACAAGAAAAAATTATAATAGAAATTTACATGCATACCCCAAAATTACTATATGTTTACATATCCATTATCCAACAAGCAAAAAATTGATATTTTTATTTTTTAGAGGGTTACCATGATGATATTTTTTAGGTGATGTTAGGGATTTGAATGTTGTGTATGTAAATATGAAATTTTGATGGTTAGATATGTAAATAGGCAAGAATTGGGTGGGTTGTATGCAAATGCCCCACAATTTTAATATAATGATATTTATTTTATAGATAGAACATATTAATATTTTAAAAATTTGAGTAATTGTCTTATAATTATGAATATTTTATCTTATTATTTTAGTACTTTAACTATTATCTTTTTTTTTTAATAAATATTTTTATAATGTTCTTAAAAAAACTATTTTTAATATAGTTTTTTTGACTTATTGATCTTGTGTGGGGCAACCAACATAATGAAGTAGGAGAGTGGATAAACTGCAACCATTATGAGAAGGAGAAGCAATATTTAAATGTGAAAATTAGAAACTATACATAAATACTAAAAATTTTATAATAATTACAAATATATGCTCAAATTTTATTTTTTATTTATAATATGAGCAAAATATTTGGATCATATTTAAGAAAAAAACAAAATCTATAAATTAAGATGAGAAGCATGGAATTTTATTTACATTAATTCTAATATATGAACAAATATTTGATGAGTAAATTTATCAAAATATTAGTTTTATAAAAAAATTAAAGTCTATAAATGAAGATGAGAAGCATGTAAAATGTGCACCACAAACCAAGCAACCTCTTCCTTCTCATTGCACACTAAAGTCTTCGTTATAGTTATTCCTAAATCCTAATCCACAACAACTCCTATAATGCTCTCTTTAATCGGATCATTAAACGCAAATCAAAACCCTTTCTAAACCCTGCACTCTCACCTCACTGTAATCACATTCTCTTCTTCCTCTGAATTCGGAGAGCAGAGGCAGCCATGGCGAGGTGCTCCAAGATGAAACCTTTACCCCCTTTCTTCTTTCTGTTTTACTTCCTGGTGGTGGTTCAGTTTCTGAGCGCAAGGAGCTTCTTTTCCATGGCTTCCAATGTCACTTACAACCGCCGTGCACTTCTCATTGAAGGCAAGCCCAGAGTCCTCATTTCCGGCTCCATTCATTATCCTCGCAGCACACCCGAGGTACCCATCATCAGCTCCATTGCTCTCTTTCTCCCTCTCTGGAGAACTCCTCCTTCACATTTTTGAGTTGCAGATGTGGCCGGACCTCATCCGAAAGTCTAAGGATGGCGGGCTTGATGTTGTGGAGACCTATGTCTTTTGGAACCTCCATGAGCCCGTGCGCAACCAGGTTCGATTGAATCTATAAAGTTTTTGTTTTTACCGTTCTGAGATGGTTGGTGGTTGATCTTCTGCTTGGCTTGTTTTCATCTTTACATTTTCTGTACATTTTCTGTACAGTACGACTTTGGGGGTAGGAAGGATTTGGTTAGGTTTGTGAAGACGGTAGTACGACTTTGGAGGTAGGAAGGATTTGGTTAGGTTTGTGAAGACGGTAGCAGAGGCTGGACTGTATGTCCACCTACGGATCGGACCATATGTTTGTGCAGAGTGGAACTATGGGTATTTATACTAAAGTTGTTTGTTTTCTCTTTTTTGTTACTGAACTAGCTTTTGATGGATTTGTTCTCTAATGTCTTTATTGGCTTTTGTTGCAGAGGATTTCCGGTTTGGTTGCATTTCATACCAGGGATCAAGTTCAGAACTGATAATGGGCCCTTCAAGGTTTCACTTTTTCTTCTTCTTCTACTGAATCTGTTTTTATGCACAGAATGGGTAGATCTGTTTGCTTACATTAAACGATTTACAGGCAGAGATGCAGAGATTCACAGCGAAGATTGTAAATATGATGCAGCAGGAGAATCTCTACGCGTCCCAAGGGGGTCCCATTATCTTATCTCAGGTGACTTTTTTTTTTTTTTTTCCAAATTTCTGATTTTTCATCTCCCACCTTTTCTTTTGTTCCAAAAGCTGCCTGCTTTGCTTTAAATTGAAGAAAATGGAGCTCTTTCTTCTGACTCTTGAATGTTGAATCTGTAATAGATAGAGAATGAATATGGTAATGTTCAGTCATCCTATGGTTCAGCATCAGCGAAATCTTACATTAGCTGGGCGGCTTCCATGGCCACCTCTCTTGATACAGGTGTGCCATGGGTGATGTGCCAGCAGGACGATGCCCCAGACCCCATTGTGAGTGAAAGTTTCCTTTTTTATGACTCCAATACTTGTGTTGTCTCGCTTGTTCGTTTGTTTTATTAGTTGTAATATATGAATTTATCAGTCTACCAGTCTGAGCTACTACTTGTTTTGCCACATAGATAAATACTTGCAATGGATTTTACTGTGATCAATTTACACCAAATTCTGCCAATAAGCCAAAGATGTGGACAGAAAATTGGAGTGGATGGTAAGAGTTGTTCTTTACCTTTTAACTGGCTGTCTTTTCTCAGAATTTCTTGGCTGTTGACACTACAGTTTTTCACTTTTTATGCTGTTAGTAACTTTCTATATGAAAGCATATTTGGCCTATTATTAACTTTGGTCTTGTTTTTTTTAGTGCTTGCATGGTTTCTAAGTTCCTCCATTCGATGTTAGTAAATCTCATTCTTTGATATTTAGGTATCTTCAATTTGGTGGTCGAACACCGTATAGACCTGTGGAAGACCTTGCATTTGCCGTTGCACGGTTTTTCCAGCGTGGTGGCACTTTCCAGAATTATTACATGGTAGTGTATTTTCTAGTTGTTCTTATTTTGAGTTTATAGAATCACCTGCTCAACTTATTTGCTCCATCCATATTTTATGCCATCCAATCTTGAAACTTGAGGGTGGCTGGACGAGGCTTTTGCTGCGCCTAGATTTTTACTAAACTCTTTAATATTATAAAATACATTTAAAATTTTGTTCATTAAATATGAATATTTAATAATAATTTAATATTAACTATATTTCTTAATAATAGAATTTAAAACAGTTTTTAAATTTGTTTGGAGATGAAAGCCTTAAATTTAAAAAACCATCACTCCTTAATTTCTAATTTTGTCACTCCTCTCCTTTAGTTCTGGATTCGCCACTGATGCCGCCCATTCTTCTTTTTCAGTATCATGGAGGAACCAACTTTGGTCACACTTCAGGGGGTCCTTTCATCACCACGAGTTATGATTATGATGCTCCTATCGATGAATATGGTAAGCTTACAATACATTAATTCTTTTATTCAATAGTTTTACTCTCTCGGGTTGTTTATTTATCAATGTATGTCACTCCTTTTTTTTTATTATCATTACTGTTTCGGAGTTACCAATTTATGTGGCCTTGTCTTATTTGATGGTGTCTACACTTGTAGGTTTTGGCCTCTTAAAAATTATTGCTAATTCAAATATTTTGGAAAGTTGATTTTCTTTCTAGTGGGAGAAAACTTTTCTATTAAATTCCTTATGGTTTCTAGCAATCTAGAATTGCATCGTCTCACTTTGGATGATTTAGCCTAGAATTAGGTGATTAAAAAATTTGATCATCAATAAGTAACCATTACCAATTATGAAGTGAGAAATGAACTTTCATTTCAAATTAGGATTCAAATTAGGATTAGATCGAAGAGAATTGGCATCTTTTAACAAGAAAATTCAATTGCGTTTCTACCAAACTCCCTAAATTGCTTAATAATGTTGAGTTACATCAAGTAAGCTTACAATAAGGTAAGAACCTTGAAGCGGATAGGAATTGCCCTACATTAGGAATTTTGGAGTGACCAAGTAGTTACCAGCTTTAAAACAATGACCAACATTAATTACTTGTTATGTTGATGTTGGCAAAAGATTTTTGAAATAAGGCATCCTAGTATATTATTTTTTTTTGTTGAATAATTTTAATTGATGTGACCTCTACTAATATAAGTTAAAAGTAAATAAAGATAAAATTTAGAAAAGAAAAAGTATTTGGGTTAGTAAAATAACAATAGAATATATGCAATACAATTTTGGTAAGGATCATCTTTTATTTTCGAATAACCAACCCTTTCCTTATACTGTATGGAGCTGACCAAGTTATGTTTGACCTTCGCCATTTATTGACTTGTGTCTTCCTTGTCTTTTAGTCTTGTATAGTGCCCTTTTATATAGTCTCTTAATGTTGCTCCATGTGTCTTAACCTAATATGTTTGTGCTTAATCCACAGCTCAGGTTAATCCTAAATAGTTTAAACCATTAAATATGTTTGCCTAACTAACAATTCTCATTAATTTGGACCAAGTTGCTTGGTATTAGTTGACTACCAATATTTTTTAGAGTTCTCTAAATGAATATATGATAGCAAAACTAATTTAAAATATAATAATAAAAAAATTAAATTAACTTAAAAGTGTGATTTTTGGCTGAGCTAGAATTGTATCTACTTTGTTCGTTAGCTGAGTTCCATTAAAGTGAGTATGATAAAAGTGTATGATAATAAGATTGAGCAATTTACTATCAACTCGTACTTGAAATCCTCAAAATTTGCTTGACATGAACTTGATAAATTTTTTACGAGACTCTCTCATTGAAATGTTTCAATTAGAATAAATTTTCATAATAGTCTCCGAACTGTTTATATGGAGTTATTTTAGTGCCCAAATCTATAAAAGTGCCTAATTAGTCTCTATATTTTTTTAAATTGAGTTTGAAATAGTCATCTGTAGGGACTATTTCAGCCTCTATCAAAAAAGTCTAGAGACTAGATTGACACTTTTATAGACTTTGAGACTAAAATGACCCATTGCAAAGAGTCACTAATTTACTTTAAAACTTCTCTCATTTCAATTGTTTGGCAACTCACAAATAATTCAAGTTGACTCAAGCTAGAAATGCCATCTAAATTAAAATGATTAGGGGAAAAACAGTTAGAAGGAAAATCATTATTAAGCAATTAAATTTACAAATATTTATATTGTTCTAACGTATTATTCTATCCAAAGAAGTATTCAAGATCACTGATTTTGTAGAAGAATCTATAACATAAATCGACAGACAATTAATAAAATGTTTACTTTCATATGCTAATGAATCTTGTGCAAGTTGAAGACAACAACTAAAGTAAGAGATGGTGAAATATCAAAATATGAACACGTGTTTGTTATTTAATTTTTTATCCAATTATTAGTATTTTCCCATTGATCATAGGAAAGCTAAAATTCAAAGTTGTGATAAAGAAGGAATATTTAGATAGGAAATGGAGAAATAAAGATGAGAAAATTACAATTTTACGTTGGCTCCGTGTTGCTAGCGGAGAGGATATTATCAGACAGAAAGGGTTAGTTATGCTTGCTTTTGAGAAGAGTTATTTATGATTACAATTAAGTTTATGTAGCACTAAGTAGGCTGTATTTTTTAGAGAAAAGATCGTTTAACATGCATCAAGAAGATGCCATGGAGGTGGAGATCATGCTGACCTGGGGCGGAACCAACCCGTTTTTTAGGGTGGACAAAGTTTTAAAATTAATATCATATAACATAAATTCCCACCCTCAATATAAAGTTGGTTATGTCGTTGTGTTGGGCTATGCACCACACTATTGGATTTGTGTTCCCTATCACTTAAACCCTTATTTATGTTTTGGTAATAAAGCAAGGTAATATTATTGATATCATGGAATTACAAGAGAGTTGACATATTTTAATGGGAAATGTTTCAAATGCGTTTCTACCATTCTCTAAATTGCTTAATAATCTAGAATTTCATCAAGTAAGCTTACAATAAGGTGAGTAAGAACTTGGAAGGGGATCGGAATTGCCCATCATTAGTAATTGTGGAGTGATCGAATAATTACCAACTTTAAAACAATGATCAACATTAATTACTTTTTATGTTGATGTTTGCAAAAGATTTTTGAAATAAGGTATCCTAGTTTATTTTTTTTGTTGATGAATAATTTTAATAGATGTGATTTCTAATAAAATAAGTTAAAATTAAATGGTGATAAAGTTTAAAAAAGAAAAAAAAAATTTGGGTTAGTAAAATAATGATCAAATATATGTAATACAGTTTTGATACGGATCATCATTTATGTTACGAATAGTTAACCCCTTTCCTTATATGATAAGGAGCTTACCAAGCTATGTTTGGCTTTTGTCAATTGTTGGCCTGTATCTTCCTTGTAGTTTTTTTATAGTCTTTTGTATAGTCCCCTTTTATATAGTCTCTTAATGTTGCCACATGCGTCTTAATCTAATCTGTTTGTGCTTAATTCGTAGCTAAGGTCAATCCAAAATAGTTTAAACCATTAAATCTGTTTGCCTAAGTAACAATTCAGATTGTGTTCAACCAAGTAGCTCGGTAATAGTTGACTACCAATAATTTTTTAGGGTTCTCTAGATGAATATATGATAAACAAAATTAATTTTAAATTTAATAATAAAAAATTAAATTAACTTAAAATGTGTAGGATTTTTGCTGAGCTAGAATTGTATCTACTTTTTTTGTTAGTTGAGTTCTATTCAATTTTGGATAATAAAAGTGTATTAGAACGAGTTTGAGCAATTTACCATCAACTCAAACTTGAAATCTTCAAAATTTACATGACATGAACTCGATAACTTTTTGAGGAGACCCTCTGATTGAAATGTTTCAATTAAAGGGCTAAAATAGTTCTCTGCTTGTTTATGTGGAGCTACTTTAGTGCCTGAGTCGATAAAAGTGCTAAATTAGTCTCCAAAACTTTTAAATTGGGTTTGAAATAGTCACGTGTAGGGTCTATTTCAGTTTATATTAAAAAATTCTAGAGAGTAAATTGATTCCTTTATAGATTTTGAGACTAAAATGATCTCTTGGAAAGAGTCAATGATCTATTTTAAAATTTATCTCATTTCAATTATATGAAAACTCACAAATAATTCAAGTTGACTTGAGCTAGAAACCATCTAAATTAAAAATGATTAAAGGAAAAATAATTAAAAGGTAAAACAAATATTAAACAATCTAATTTACAAATATTTACAATGTTCTAATGAATTATTTTTTTCAAAGAAATATTCAAGATCACAACAAGATATTGTGGAAGAATATATAACATAAATAAATAGACAATTAGCAAAATTCTTACTTCCATGTGTTAATGAAACTTGTACAAATATAAGTTGAAGATAACAACTAAAGCAAAATATTGTGAAATATCAAACTTCGAACATGTGCTTGCTATTTAATTTTCCATCCAATTATTATTATATTCTCGTAGATATTAGGAAAACTAAAATTCAATGTTGTAATAAAGAAGGAATATTTAGATAGGAAATGGAGAAATGAAGATGAGAAATGTACAATTTTAAGGTGGCTCCGTATTGCTAGTGGAGGAGATATTATTATACAGGAAGGGCTAGTTATACTTGCCTTTGAGGAGCTATTTATGATTACAATTAAAACTATGCAATGCAAAGAAGGCTGTATTTTTTAGAGAAAATATTGTTTAACATGTGTCAAGAAGAGGCCATGGAGGCGGAGATGGTGTTGAACCAGGGGAGGAACCAACCCATTTTTTAGGGTGGACAAAGTTTTAAAATTAAAATCATATAACATAAATGCTCACCCTCAACATAAAGTTGGTCACGCCCCTGTGTTGGGCTTATGCACTACACTATTGGATTTGTGTTGCCTATCACTCAAACCCTTACAATAGAAAAATCTTACTATTAGGCTTGAATTTGAGATGAAAAACTCTTGTGAGAGAAAATGACGATCAACTTAATTTATATTATAACTAGCCAAATTTTTGTGTGAAATGACAAAGGCTAAGTTATTTTACGTTGTAAACACCTAATAGTTTTTATTTAGTATTATTATAAATATAATAAAAAAATTAGTGGTCAAATCTAGAGTTGAATTTATTTTAAATCATTTTTGAGTTATAGGAAAATTTTATAAGATGGTGGTGAGGCCTGCAATATTTTATGTCGCAGAATGTAAGTTTATAAAAAAGAAGCATAAAACTAAGTTAAGTGTTGCTGAGATGAAAATGCTTAGGTGGATGAGTTTTTTGACACTTAGAGACAAAATGTGAAACAAATGTATCCATGAAAGGGTAGGTGTTGCTCTAGTGTTGAACAATATTAAAGAGAGTTGTCTTTGATGGTTTGGTCACATTAAAC